TTAGTGACCATCCTCAAAAGCCTACCGCTGTCTACTCCTTTTTGAGACGAACGCTTGGTGTCGCGTCCTTTGGGGCTTTCTTGGCGAACGGGAAATGGAACAATGGCAAAACCCATTCGCTTCGCCTCGGACTCCCGCAAAGCTTCTTGCTGGCAACCAGAGCTCTTACTCTCGCTCAGTTGCTATTAGCAAGCCACGGACCTCGCACTTCCGCGGCCCATCAAACGTGCCGTCAACAGAGCGACGAAAGGCTGACCGTCCCCTTCCTTCTGTTTTTTCACCAAACGTGCTGTTTCTTTTGTTTTGTCCGGCGGCTCTGACGCATACAAACCAACTCCGGTGCCGACGACAAACGCCTCATTCTGTAAACTGCCCTCGAATGTTTGCCAACTTTCCTCAAGCCTGCTGTGTTCTTTGTTATATTCTTTGCTTTACGACGCGGCTTCCGTCTACGCTTTTTCTTAAGGGGCATCTCTTAAGCCCTGCGACTTGCTATAATGCGTATCGCTATTCTTCCAATAAATATATGTACAACGCATATAGGCTACTGAAACCATAAAGCGCCAACGAAAGCAAAGTTTTAACTAGTTATGTACAAAATCACTAAAGTAAACAAACAATTCATTACTTTGAACAGTCCTGCGTCAACATTTTTGATAAACTAACAGCTGTTCTCAACAACTTTGAGTCGAAGTCGTGGTGGTCGCACCCAAAACGATCTTCTCGGCAAGCGGGGTGTACAACACACGTATAAGTGAATCGCCTTGCTACCTAACCCCGCGACGTTCCTTGAAGCAGACTTGCCGTCATCCCTTTCTGCTACTTCGCGAAACCCACCAACCTCTGTGTTCCGCACCCCGTCCAATGCGCCGCGAAAACAACGGAAGGGTCCCTTTCTCTCTGACCACTTACGCACCCAATGCGCTTCTCTTTTTCCTTGCTCCTCGGCCGCTCGGACGCTTGCGATACGGCAACTTTCTCGCGATGAACGCCCCGCCGCGGTGGTCTAGTGGCTAAGGTACTCGGCTGCTGACCCGCAGGGCGCGGGTTCGAATCCCGGCTGCGGCGGCTGCATTTCCGATGGAGGCGGAAATGTTGTAGGCCCGTGTGCTCAGATTTGGGTGCACGTTAAAGAACCCCAGGTGGTCTAAATTTCCGGAGCCCTCCACTACGGCGTCTCATAATCATATAGTGGTTTTGGGACGTTAAACCCCACGTATCAATCAACTTTCTCGCGATTTCTCTCCGCGATTTGAACACATTCCTCAAACGCGTCGCGATTTTCGCCTGCCTGTTTTGAGGGCGCTTTCTCCATTTTGCACGCTTCTTGGTGCCGTATACGGAGCCTTTCGCCCACCTGTGATGCTCATTAGCACCCACATGCTTGTTAGATTTTTCGTGCACACTGCCCTGATAATTGCCTAGCAATTTATTATGCAAATACTGCCGCGTGCGATGCGCTTTTCTTTTCCGGCGGCTCGGACGCATAGGATACAGACCCGTCAGAGATGACAACAGCACTTTTCTCGCGATCTCACTCCGCCGTATGAAGCCCTTACTCAAAGGCGTTGTGCTCATCGCAAGCTTTGCCTTACTGTTGCCCTTCGGACGCTTTTTCCCCTGTGCACGCTTCTTTACGCGGGCTTGGGAGCCTTTCGTCCCACTCTGACGTTCTTCATCATCGATATGCTCCTCCCCTGTCTCGCGCGCACAGTCCTGATGATCGCCTATCAGTTCATCGTTAGACCGCGTCTGCGTAGATTGCGCTTTTCTTTTCCTTACTCTCCGGCCGCTCAGACGCATGCGATTCAAGCCAGCCAGAGAAGACAACGGGCCTTTTCTCGCGAATCCGCCACGCCGTTTGAAGGTCCTCGTCAAACGCACCGCGCTGATCACGAGCCTTGTCGCACTTCCATTTTTCGGACGCTTTCTCCGTTTGGAACACTCCTTGGTGCCAACTTTGGAGCCTTTCGTCCGCCTCTGATGCTCATCGATATCATCTATAGGGCTGCAAGGTTCAATTCTCGTGGAGCACTCTGTTAATCTCAATTCCATTTCCACAACCACGGAACCCTCACACCCTGCTTCGACCGCGAGCTCTTTTTCTTCTGAACTAGTTCGAATCTCAACCATGTCCTTATGGGCCCTAGCCTTCTCTTCGGCCTTAAACAGCACTGCCACTACATCGCACCGTTCGTGCGCTACATCTACGGATGTCTGGCCTCTTTGCTGCAATGCCACCCCTTTGCGATGCATCCTTTCTATCTCCTCATTCAATTCCTGCATATTCCTCCTATGTTTTTTATTTCTTCGCTCGATTTCCTCTTTGTCCCGATTGCGCTTCTCTTCCTCTTCCTGATCTAATAAATGCATATTCACGAAGTGCTCAATTTCTGCATTTTCAATTTTGCTTTCAAGAATTATTTCACGGAGTTGAGATTCAAGCATATCTTAGAAGTGTGACAGCTTAAGCTAGTTGGTATGGCATGATGATAGTTATAGCACAAAAACAAAACGACGACACAGCGACACGATGTCCTTCGTGCCCTTCGTGTCTCCGTGTCGTCGTTATGTTTTCGCGCTATAACTATCGTCAAGCATATCATCACTAAAATTTAGGTCGAGTTCCCAACACAGGTTTAGCAAGTTATCTCTCGTTAATCTCATGAGGTCCATGACTACTGCTTTGCTTTGGCTCAGCTGTGACGAAACACAAACCCACCAGCGTTTCAATTTTGGGTCTGTAGAAATTGAAGCCTGGCAAATCCCACAGCGGAGACCACAAGCTTAAGCACACAAGTAGCACTACACACCAACCTCCCTTTTTAACCTGTTTCCTGTTTCTTTCTCAATCTACTGGCTTTTACAACATCCCAAGTTTTCCCCGCAACATACCCTTACATATTTCACAGAATTTAACACTTGATTCAAATGAATTATCTAAGTCTTCCTGCTTAATTTACTTGCTCAGATAACTGTCCAGTGCTGCTTTGTGCCGAGATAGCAACCACAGTGGCCAGGCAGTTGTAGGTGATATCTATCCCTTAATGAATCTAGGCTAAAAGACTCGATATATCTCAAGCACAAAGCCAGGCACTCACCCCATTACTTGCGGTCGCGGTGCGCTGCTTCGATCCCGATGAATTCCAGGGCTTTCAGCTGACCTCTGGTCCAGGTCATTCACCATCCCGGAGTCGTATCCCAACGCTGCCAACTACTGGTGTTTGCTGGCACCGGAGGTACGGGATGAAGTTGTCGAGGCAGGAGGAAGAGACTTGAAGAGGGTTTATTTACATTATGTACATAGTGAGCTCTCGTACATTACGAGCTCTTTCTTACATGGCGAGCTTTCGAATCTGCCGTTCCTCTACATGGCGCTGGGGTCTTAAACTCCCGACAGCATCCATCAAAGGGTCCGCAGAACCGCTCGCCTGATTAGCGGGCCGATTTGCGGCGGCCGCGGCGGTCGCTTCCAAGGAAGATGCTGTAGTTGTTGTCCTCTTTCTAACGACTTACGGCCTCATGGCGACACGACGTCTTACCCACCAGCTAGGAAGGACGATGCCTGGCAGTCATAGGCAGCCGGCCAGTCGGCTACTTATTTGAAGATCCAAAGAGCGCCGCTCCCTCGTCAGCTCGGGTGCCAGTCACAACAGCGGTGATACTCGCCTTATTGTGCCCTGGCAGCAAACCTTTTCTCTTTTTTTTTACGTTATCCATAAGGTCTCGAACGAACTTTGAACTGTGTTGATGTTTTTTTTTTTTTTTTTTTCAGTATGACCAACCACAGACATCTTTTTTTTTGCACCTGCATATGCCTTGTGCACTATAAGTATCGTTTCTCCCTCTTTTTTCACCTTATGGGCCTTGCTGTCCCCTTGTGTAGGAGCATCGAGTCGATGCTCTAATGGGAGGCGGAATAATGCCACCTAGAGTTGTGAGCCGGCAAGCCCTAGCCAGGCGAAAAGGGCAAAGAGAATGAAGAAAAAGTGTGTGTTAGCGCTTTAGAAGATACGCGCTCGTGTCTTTCTGCCTCGCTGTTCCTGTCTTGTCTCTACGGCTCTTGGGGCATGACAATATGGTGGTTTTGGGACGTTTAACCCCACATATCAATCAATCATCATAAGCTTACATCTTTTCCATCCAATCTTTTTTCGGACATAAACTGGCTTGTAGCATAGTGCAGAAAGAAGACGGGGGCAAAAAATGAATGACAAACAGAAACATAAGTGGACCGCATCGCTATCTTCAACGGACACACTTTTAAGGGTTGAAACCCCTGCTAAAACATCTATGGCTACTCCGGGGTGTGAACAGCAAATATTTGTTACCCGCTGAACAGCAAAAAAAAAAAAAAAGAAAAGAAAATCTGTCATCGTACAGAGCCCAATGCCTGTGTTCATTCAATGCTGTTGCGAAAAATGAAATTAAAATACAAACTGTACCTTACGCAGTGATGTGCAATAATTTCAGCTGTATGTTTAGCACATTTTCAAAGCATTTATAGCTAAAACCTAATATCATGTCACCTTTTGTCTTCATCTCTTACTGTACTATTCTGCAAGCCAGTGTACAGTGAACAAACAAGCCCAAACTGGTACCGTTATCATTCTATTGTTTCTATGCGAGTGTTAACCTACTGAAAACGCTGAAACCTTGTTATACTGAAGTTCTAGGTGGCAGTGGCTTTTCCTTAAATGATAGTTACACCCACCAGAGCCTTTCGCACAAGTCTACAGTTGGTAGTAAAAGTAGGGGAAAAAAGAAACCTTTCGAACAAGTGTACTGACAGAAAGCAAATGTAATGTTGTAACCAAGCTATAGCCTTCATCGTCACTTTCGGCTTTTCTTGGAGGCGTATGTTTCGGTTTTAATTGTGGGTCAACCTACAGTTGTATGAACACAGTACGAGACATTGACAATTTGGGACTTGTGTTGCGCACTGTGCCTTTAAGTCATTGACTCTCAAAGGGTCAAGCCATTCTCGCGTTCTCCCTCAGCTGGTGCCAAGGGACTACCTGATTCACCGTCACTGCTTCACGGGGGGCTGGCCTGAGGCGCAGGAGTGGCTTGGAGCATTCCCGAACCTGTGCTTGGGCATCACACCGCTGATATGCTTTGAGAGGACGAGTCATCTCGCCGAGGTCGGCCGCAAGATTCCTCTTGACCGGCTGCTGCTCGAGACCGATGCACCATACTTCCTTCCAAAAGAGGTAAGTGCATCATTGTTTTTCAATTGGCTTATCTCAAACAGGAGGTCTCAAACACTCAACCTGGCCCATATGCATGGAGCAAGAGCATTCAGGAGGCACAACTTCGCTCCACGAGGCTACCAGGTAACGTCACTTTGCTGGAGAGCCACTTCATGCTGGCGGCGTCTGGTTGCAGAAGAGGGCATTGCCGCCAGTCCGGTTTCTCAGGAAACCGATCGCATGCATTGCTTGCGTTTTGCTGCAGAACACGCACAAACACACAATCAAAACATTAATGTGCCCGCTAAAGAGAATGCACAGGCGAGTGCACTGGCTGCGCGTGGTCGGTAGTGTTTTCTTCTTTTTGCAGTTGCCGCATTCTATTGCAAGGCACCGCCATTTGAAATGCCTCCATCGGAGCTTGTTATTTTTGCATTTTATGTGATGTTATCTGGACGCCTGCAGACACCCGTACAACGATAGTTGCACCTCCTAAATATTTCTTCCTTCATTCCCGCACGTGACTGTCTTTATTCTATAGTTTATTTCATTAAGGATGTTTATGAGCTGTGCAGGTGTGACTGGTGTCAAGCATTTTTTTCATGAGACAAACAAGGCACTACAGTGTATACCACTTATAACGTAACCATCTATAGTGCAGACCGCTTACAATGCAGTCTTTTTCTACTCCCGTTTACCCTCCCATAGAACCCCATGTATACGCATACCACTTATTGTGCAGTCCCCCAAGATGAAAGGCTGATTTTAATGCAGTTGACGGAAATTGTTCGTGACAAATGCGGTAGCATGACGAGGTCGTTACGGAGGAAGAGGTGTGAATGAACGAAGGGCGGAGGGAAGAAAAAAAAAATGTAAGAAAGACCGCGGGACACTGCTGGGCTCGACGAGTAAGAGAGGAGGACGGTTGCCTCGGTGGCCGATAAGACTTCGCACCGGCGCCGACGCGGCTGCAGCTTACTACGTCCCTAGCGTAACTTCGGCCGCGCGCCGCTCAACGTGGCACGTGTGATCCTATACTTATCAACTCTATGCACTTAACAGTTTCCTGTCGGGAAAGACATCGACGTTATCGAGCTTGCAAAAAATATCGTGTTTGCTTCCTTGTCCATAAATTGAAAACCTTTTATGGTTTTATGATGCGAGCTTTCACTTTTGCTGCCAGTGCGCTGTCGTACGTAAGCTTGGCGAACTTTGCGAACTTCGTATCATGCGCGCTGTTCTTGGTGCACTGCTAGTGCGATCTTTTTGACGCCGAATCTTCATGTTTTGGACAAACTTTCTGCGACAGCATACGAAACGGCAAGCTAGAGCTAATCGGCGTTGGTTGCTTTTCAATCAGTAGCGGTCGCGTGAATCTAAGTTGCGGTTTGGTACCAAATCAACGAAACTCTTTGCAGTGGCCGCTTTTGACAGGAACGATACATATTGTTAATGAAGACGAGAGCGGCACCTGTAACGCTCCAAGAGTGGTACGCAATTTTATTGCGATGTCTTAAATCGGCTGTGTGCCCATGAAATCGAATGGTTGGCATCTTTCAATGCGTCAAATTCTGAACATGATTCGACATAGTTTCTGTGTAATGCGCATAATTGAGGTGGTCTAGTAGCTGGCGAATTTCCGCGATGGTGCTTTCATTTGTTAGACCCCCACCCCCCACCCCTTCGTGTTCATTTCATTGGCAGCGCGTGTCTTAGGACGTTAAGTTCTTTTAACATTCAGAATTTTAAGTGTCAGCAAGCACGCATCTCACGTTTCGATTTTCGGACACGTGAAGCTGCATGTTCAACACGTTTTGCACAAGTGCGGCCCTTGAAAAAAATTGTTTTGGTTATAGTACAGATATTCGCGACTCTTGCAACTTGCGTTATAAGTGGTTTATACGGTATTATCAATTATAGGTAGAGTATCTCGGTAAATAGAACACGCCTGAAATGGAGTAATGAAACCTCAACATTCTCTTGAGAATGGAATTGCCACTTAAAAGCAACTACTGCCTCTAATTTTGTTGGACTTGCATCCGGGTATTGCTCGATATAAATTTGAAGCTGGATATAAATTTGTATTAGATAGGTGCCAATCTAGGAGCATGAAAATCCGAGAGACCGCAGTAGGGGAGAGGGGGGGTTCATATAGGAAATTACCAAATTTTGATTGAAATCAGAATAGGGTAGCAATGTTTATTTTGAGCTGCTTTATTCTTTCATCCCGAAAAACGACGTAATACTTTGCCACATTTGGGTAGATTTGCACGACCCAGTGTGATTGCTTCCATACACAGCGATTGCGAAAGCACAGCATTTCAGAGCCTCCGTCATTGTGTTTTCGGCATCTAGAGCCATTTCCCCTACAAAGGCACGTCCGCACCTGTGCCGCTTCGCGTCCTCGCCCCTCGGGAACATTCTCTGAAGCAAGGATGCTACGTGATCACTAACACAAGTTTTGTTGCACAAGAAATTCTATGTATAGGCATTCTGCGCGAATCGCATTGTCTTCATAGCTCTTCTAAAGAAACTTTTGATATTGCCCTACCCTTCCGCAGAATGATTATAGTTCTGATGCTTCTGCGAAGCGATTTGCACCTTCACGTCGGCCTTGCTGCCCTGCAAAACTTTTACATCACAGGCGCACGTGGTACAGAATCCATAATTGCCACCCTTCTGCGAAGTCCCAAAGCAGGAAACACTTGCAAGTACTGCTCCTTCTTAGCTTTTGACAACGCCATCGACCTTCCAACTGAACTTGGGGAAACACGCAATTCCCCCCCCCCCCCCCCCAGCTACGTAGTAAATGCAGCTGAATGATGCTTCGGGTGGCGCAGTCCTAGTGTACAAAATGCGGGGGCTAAGACAGATGCAAAAGTGCATTATTTTTTTTTCCCTCACCTTTTTTTGGTACGGTGGTGAGCACGTGTTGCGGCTGGCAGGGCCCAGGTGCGCCCTACTAAAGTGTTTAGAATATACTTTGTGTTAATCTATGTATGGTATATGGTTAGATTGGTAGTGTGTGGCAAGTGCTCTTTGGCAGCACTGCAACTGTAATAGAAAGGCTGACATACACACGTTATTAAAAAAAAAAAAAGCCTTTCCTATGGCGGCCACTTTTGGAAGATTCTGAGATGGCATTCGTGCAATCGAGAGATTAGCTCAAAATTCGGAAGTCTCCCGGACCATTCAGGAGAGTTGGTAGTTGTGGTAATATGTACTATTGCGCTTCACAATATTGTCAATACACATTAATGTGATAGCATTAAAGAGTTCGTTTCGCTGAAATTTTGGTGTTGGTGTGGGTGCTGTTAGTTATGAGCGATAAATAGTCTTGTCCATGACCAAAAGATGCAAATAAAGTTTTAAAGAATAAAAATTTCTGAGTCCGAGTGAGAATTGATCACAGGCCGTTTGCGTGGATAGCAGGTGTTCTACCACACAGCCACTCGTCTGCTTGGAAATACCATGAGAATAGCTTGCATGCTTTACAAATACAAGTGTCCTATATACAGGCTGCACAATACAACATGTAATATCCATAGCAATATTGTGTGGTACAATCGTACATTACCATTAGGCATCAGAATGTGTGATCATAACAACTTAGTGTTTCAAAGCTGGCCACTCATTTCAAAAGGCATGGACATTACTGGCCGGATTCCTTTAAAGGGCCTCTAAACCACCTCCGATATTTTCCAAACACTTCCAAGTAAGCAAGGGCATTGTGTGCAGAATGTTGTCTCGGTCAACTATTTTACACGTGGCAGTGCTACGAGCTGCTGGCGCACCACGAATTTCAAGAAACAATCCCTCCTTTTTACTGGGCTTTTGCGTGACACGCCGTACGAATATCTCTGATGCGCCGTTCAAATATGCTGTGATTGGTCGAGCAAGAGGAGCCTATGACTTCCGGCTAGTCTACAAGCAGCTGTCCGTGCTGCTTGTTGTTGTTCGTTGTGTTGCCTACGTGCGTGTGTACGGGTGCATCATGTTGGCGATCTTTTGAAGCCGTGCGTGCAACGCAGGGTACTTACCGGCGTGATTCATATAAGCACAGGCCAGCACGGCAGCCGCGGTTCGCCACAAGTACGCAGTTGATGGAGTCCACGTAGTAGACGGCAGCCGGAAGTAGATGGTGTTTCAAGCAGCGCGTCAGTGAGATAGTGATACAAAACAGCCGGTGATACAAAACAGGAGGGGTGCTCGGCGAGAGGGCAATCCGGCTTTGGGAGAGGATACCATGGAGTGTAACGCAGGAGAGAGCGAAAGGAGTGATCGTCGCGGTTTCGATAATCAAACGTGTCTAACTCCGATATTACAGCACTTTTTCAAAAAATTTTCGAGGCTCCGTGTTCGCTGTACACTCGTGCACAATTTCCCCACCACAATTGAATTTCGACCTTTTAGTGATTTAGGAGCCTTTAAGATTACGGAGCAGGTGCATAGCAAGTTCGGGGACATTTCGCGTGCCCAATCGCTCGTGGTTTAAAGCGTGCTACCAGTTACACAGAATGCAGCCATATATGAAAGCTTCACTGGCACGAGTCGCTTTCAGCTTTATCGATTACATTGTTGTAATCCTCTAAATTTAACTTGAGTAACATCATTCAATAAAAAGCATACACTCAGTGGTTGAAGTATATATTAGTGACAGGATATCGCTATCACGTTAGACTATTATATGTGAAGCTCAAGGGTTTCCCCAAGTTTTTATTGCTCCATAGCCTAGATGATAAAAATGCCCTTGACGATGTTGCAATGGTTTGTGTTCACTCTTTAGCTGCATAGCAATCAATCTGTTCATGAACAGTTTCCTCTGGCTGCCAGAACTACTATGTGTGACTCCAATAAATGAATAGACTCGTATAAGTCGAATAACTACAGTTTTTAACTCATTTAGTGGACTTGGAAGGGTATGCATGAGGTTTAACACATTATATGAAGAGCCTTCATTACATCCAGCATTCATTGTAAGCTTGTCTTTTCATAACCTTTGATTGAAAAGAATGCAATTTAGCCTGGTAATACAATTTATTTCTGTGTGCTATATTGGGTTATAGCCGTAAATGCCTTGCAAATGTTAGGCATCGAGGTGAAATTATAAATTGCAGTGGGTCATTTAACGTCGCTTGTAACATCATCGAGTGGGCACAAGTATTGGGTGCCCATCATTGGGCATCATTTGGTAACAGTACTTTTTTCGTGCTTCGCAGGAGACGAAAAATCTTCGTGTTTCACATCCCGGAATGGCCATACACGTTGCAGCGCGGGTTTCAATGCTTCAAAAGGCTTCCATCGAAGACGTGCTCACTGCGGCCCGCAATAACACGAAGCGCATTTACGGCATATAATGTCAATGGCTCCGCGTCACGCTCGCATATCGTGTAGCATTTTTCTTAAATTTTTTTGTTCCAAAGCTGAGAAAACTGTGATAGCTACATTCACAAAGGACCTGCTCATCTTAAAACATCTGTTATCGTTTTTTCATGCGACATTTGTGCTATAAATCAAAGAATTAAACTATGGAGGCACATGCCTGCCTTGTTAATAGCTATCTTGCCTCAATTTCAATTATCATGACGTTGCAAGGTCTTCAAGCTTATCGTTTTGTGTTGTGTTCTGCAACATCTGTTTATAGTCAGCGGAAATGGTAGCTCTTACGAAATCATAGCTAAAAATCAATATGGTGTGAGCATTAAGTGCAAATCGATGCAGAAAGTGTAATGCGCTTAGGCGAAATGTGTTAGATTTTCTGTAGTGTTGAGCCTATAAAATGTGCTAAAAGCATACGAGTGTGTCTTTGTGTGTTTGTGTTGGCATGACATGCTAAAAACCCGTAAGGAAAGAAAAACTCATTTGTAAAGCTTGTAAAAGGAGCTTTTATTTTAATGTACATGATTTTAAGCACATGATGCCTCCCTCTAAGAACCATCACTGGGTGTGGCTTTGCACTCCTCAAAAGCGACAGTCCTGCGATATCGATGAAGACGTGCGTTTGAATGATGCCCACATTTGTAATACTGCATATGTGGCTTTATTCCATTCCACCTAAGCCTTTAGCGTCAACCATAACTTTTTCATTTTTGATGTCATTGTATGCCACTGAACTTGCGCCCAGCACTTTCAATCATACGCCGGATTTGACATGGTCAGCTTGAGCGATTCGAGAAGTTGTACAGCATCACAGATTGAAAAGATTCCTCTGTTTGTAAAGTGAACTAACTGTGGCTGAGAGGTCACAGTGCACGTTTCGGTCTTCCGGGTAGACTACTAGCTGTCCTGTACATATACATGCATAGCACATTATGTAAAGCTGGTACCTCGGAGTACTTTTTACAAAGAATGGCTGTGTCCACTGTCTGGGAAGTGACCGATGCTATAAGAAATCCAGTGCGAAATTGTTTATAATGTCACTGTTCCCTTCATTCAGCAAACCATAGCTATCTAACATTGTTGCAGATAGCACGCAGAATGCGCAGTTTCAAGTGCAGCTTCAAAACGCTAGCAAAACGAACCCCTAAAATAACTTTCTTGCAAGATTTGTTAGTAAAGAAGCATGTAGTCAAATCAGAAAAGTTGTAAAACACCAAGCTCTCTCATCAATGCAACAATCCGAGTACAGAGCTTGCTTTGACCCATCTGCAGAGAATGCACTCAATTTTCACCCATTCAATTCCATTCAGCAAAAGGGAAGGTATTATTCTGGAAGAATAATACCGTCATGTTTCTATGAAAAACAGTTCACTAAAAACAACTTTCATGTGAAGCAGTAGTGCAGAGCAGCAAGCAACTTCTTTAGAAAAAGTACCTCTTTCTTGTTCACCAATAAGGCATCAAGGTTTTACTTTTAACAGCTTGAGCCTTGGCCTGCTGCATGCAATATAATGCATAACGCACCTCGTTTCGTGAACTACAAGTACCTAGTGCAACGAAAATATTTAGCCAACTGAAAGGGCTGATCTATTCTTTGGTGATCGACTTCAGTGTACTGCCACATTAGTCCAAAGATTAAACTAGGATTAGTGCAGACATTCTTCTTTACAATAAACATTCTACTATTGTTCCCAAATGGGCTAAAACAGTTATATAATCATTATAACATCATTATAATCATTATACGGGTATAAGCGACGAGTGAGCGATGGAAGGCACTATAATCATGTCTTGTCACTGAGACAAGAGTACGAGCTTGGATATCGCCATCGCAGGAAACGGCAAAGCCACACCCAGCACAGCAGGATGAACACTGAAGGCACAACGGTGCCCTACTGCGTTTTCAAACGCGGCTCTGTAACTGCCGGCGCCGGTGACAACACTCCGGTGAACAGCAGTGTTCCTGTGAACACGAGTGCAGTGCCGAACCAGTGGGTAATTGTGAACGGGTTTTGGAAATAGTAGATGGACAAAAGCAGTGAGACGAACTTGCGCAGTGTGATCACCAGCGTCACAGTCAGCGACGAGCATTCTGTCGTCAACACGTACACTGACCGGATGCACACATATCTGAAGACGAGAGTTTGTCAAGGTCAGATGTGCTTGCTTTTTGATGGAACACTGAGCTTCCATAATACATTTCATGCACAAAGCGCAATGCTAGCAAGACTTCTTGTATAGTAGCGGCGTTCGTGACAAGTAATTCAGTGCTTCTACCAGCAAATGCATCTGCTCCAGGTTGAGCAAGAGAGCATGGTTGTGTTTTGAAAGGGAACAAAACAAACAAAATGTTGAAATACTAGATGTGCAATCATGAACACAAGAGATGAGACACCACTAATGGCGTTAGTGGATGTCTACAAAATATAAACAAGAAGTAAGTATCATGGTACATTTTGTCTACTGAGGTTCTTATGTAGCTTCCATTGCATGCTATGCATGAAACACTGTATAGAAAGGAAAAAAAAAAGGGGGGGGGGGGGGGGGCAACCGTTGAAACTTCAAGGGGAGGCCTTTTGATGTTCCAATTTACGGGATGTAGTGTTTCGCACTGCAACAAATAGACTTTTTTTTTTTTTTCACAACAAAGAGGTGTATGCACAGGTTATACAAACTGGTTGTGCATGTACAGGTTACGACAGCTTTTGCAATGTTTCGTTTTGACGTGGCAGCAAAGCAAGGTACAGCACTCATAGACTGAAATGCGAAAATATAGAGCTCGGTAATGCACACTATTTCATTTGAAACGTCTACATTTGTGTCGTATCAGCGCAATTTTGAATTGGAACACTTACATCAGACTTTTAACAGTTACATTTACAGTTACATATTTTTAAGAGTTACATTTGCAGCGACATGATGTGGTTGTCACAAGCCAATGCTCGTAGGTTATATTAAAAAAAAATGGTGATGCTGCATTTCAATTTCCTATTGCCGTATAATCCCGCTTACACATTCCTCACTTGTACATTTTTTTGAGTTAACGTTTCTGGCATCCAGTCCCGGCAAAGAATTCACTGATGTCTAAGTACTAGAATCCCCTTGTCCACATGTGATTCCTGCGAAATTCCTTGCTTGATAGGTATGTTGCAAGCTGTTTTTGCAATGGGTGTGCATCAATAAATTTGATGATGCAGACTACAACAGAGCCATCTTAGTGTTCGAAAGGGGTCTGGTTAAGGCTGAAGTGCAAACAAAACCCGAGACTTCTCTGGAAAAAACTAAAACTTCATGACCCCATGTTCACTACGCACACTGCACATCTTTTATTCTCCATGCCACATATTCAACACGTGCAACTTCTTGCTCGTACCCTTGTCTCTTTCCTCCCATATCCCCACGTGGGCACGCGCACCCTCTTTTGTTCGTACACTCGCGCCATCTTGTTCCTCCACCGTTAAACTACACACAGCCTCCGAGACTCACGCCCATTCAACACTCGCGCCATCTTGTTCCTCCACCATTCCTCCGCGCGCAGGTCCTACGCGCAATCCTAACTATCTCGTCTGTCACGACACTAAAGGCAAATGTTAAGTCAAACTGTATCATTCAAATACCACTGTAGAAACCTCACAGTGCTCATTTCATGCGCAGGAAATGCTTGGTAGTTTGAAGAAAAATTGCACTTGGGAGGTTCACATATCGTCAGTGCCATTAAAACTGCCCCATGCCTGCCCTTTACTGTCCGGCAAACCCTCTCATCAAGTTTGGCCTTTCTTTCATGTTCCTACAAAACTGAGGTGGTTTCCGCTGGCCGTAGGTATGCGCAGCAAAAAGGGAGCTGGGAGGCAAAGGTTCTTCGCAGTACCCCCCCCCCCCCCCCTTCTATGTCAAAATATGGAGCAGGTTTCGCGCACACACCCCTCTTCTTCGGTAACTAGGATGTGCAGCTGCACCTCTGCCTCCTCCGTGCACACGCCTATGCCACTAACAACTTGATTATTATTACTAGGGAGGCCAGGTTTGCTCTCGATTGCTTGAAATCTAGTTTGCGTTCAATGTACAACATCACACGTACACTGGGAATGACTGAAAAGGATACTGAGTGATGACGTTGAGAAGGAGATATATCCAGGACCTTGGTATGCTTTCCAACATGGGGAAAGGCAGCGGTGCTGGGAAAAAATTATTACATTTGAAACACAGACTGCACCAATTAAACAGCCTTTGAATGAGGTCACATTTCGATCTGTTCATGTTTGCATGATATGCGATGAACAGATTGTGGTGAATCTTGTACTGCCACCACTGCACATCTAGGAAAAAGAGCGCTTCTGGTCATGGCGAGTATGTAAGTGACAAAACTGCGATGAAATGTCGTTCGCATGAAAAATCAAGCAGCAGTTCTAACAATGAGCCATTGGTACATTCACCCATTCGTGGTTAAGAACTTGCCACAGCATAGCCGAAAGACTACAAGGATATTTTTTTTCATTATCTAGCATTCAGTTTTGTGAGGCAGCAAAAGAACTGTTGAGCTTTGTGGGGTTAGGAATTTAAACAGATCAAATGTAGGAGCCGCAATGTGATAACATTGTTCAGTGTTAAAACTTTTAATGTAGTTGTCGGGCATTTAGAGTGTCTTAAAATTACAGTAAAGGTGCTAGGTTTGTTAAAAAAGACAGGCTCTTTCTCCTAAAAGTTTATCATTATTTTGTCAGACTTGGCGAACACTTAGTATATGGGGCATACATATTATGACGAAGATTTGTAAAGTATGTAAGTGCAAAACATAAGGAACAGCAGTTAAAAGATGATTATGTAAAGAAGAGGAAGTACTCCGGCGCAGAAGCAGCAGCATCGAGTGTGCAGCAGCGGCTCGAGCTCGGAAATTGCGGCTGGTACATCGCCTTCCAAGCCTTCCAAGCATCAACCTTTCTACTTAATAAATCTCCTTTATATTTGGTGGAGCCGTGCCGGGTACCGTCCCTTACACCTTCCCGCTACCATCCTGGAACTCCGTTCTCGACGGCTACCTTCTGCTATGCCGGACGCCGATCAGCAGACGCTTCCATCTCTTCCGGCCACCTGTCCAGGCAGTGTTCCTCAGCAGGAGCCTCCAATCTTCAGTGGAACAGATGACAACGACGTTGAAGAGTGGCTCTCGACTTTCGAACGGATGAGCGCTTTAAACAGATGGACGGACGCGGACAAGTTGACACGCGTTTCGTTCTATCTCACGGGTGTAGCCAGCCTTTGGCTTAGAAACCACCAGGCAGACGTCCGAACGTGGCCGCAATTTAAAACGTCGATTGTAGCAGTCTTCGATCGACCTGCCATCCGAAAACTTCGTGCCGAGCAACGTTTACGCACACGCGCACAAGAAACGGGTGAAACCTTCACAAGTTACATAGAGGACGTCGTCGATTTGTGCAGACGCGTGAACGCCGAAATGACGGAAGCTGAAAAATGTAAGCACATGCTCAAAGGGATTGACGACGACGCTTTTCAAATGCTCTTGGCGAAAAGCCCGACTACTGTTAACGACGTAATTAGCCTCTGCCAAAGCTACGATGAATTGCGGAAGCAGCGAGCTCTGACAAGACGTCCTCCAGCGCACGATTTGGCATCGCTGCCTAGTGTGATCAGTAGTCATGACCACGCGTAACTAATAGCCGAAATAAAAGCATTTGTCCGCGAAGAAGTTGGACGACAGCTTTCTTTGGTGCCTTTCACACCAGAAGCTACCACAACTTTACCATCGTCTCTACGTGACGTCATTCAAGGAGAGGTCGCCGAGGCCTTACCAGCTGCTCGCGAGCCTAATTTTGTGGCTGCTCCTCTCACCTACGCCGCGGCTGCAGCCATGCCAACTCGCAAGGCGCCTGCGCCTCCGTTCCAGCCTCGCGCGAGCTATCCCCCAGCTTCAGTTCACTGGACCAGCACTAACACCGCCAACCCGTGGCGCACCCTCGATAATCGCCCGATATGTTACGCTTGTCGATACCCCGGACACGTCGCAAGGGATTGCCGCCGCCGGACGCATATCACCAATGAAAACCGCCGTGAGCCTTTTTTCCCGCTTGACTCCAACGCGCGATATGGTTCCTTCACTCCAATGCCAGCCCGCTACCAGGACGACCACCGCCCTCGGCCGGGACGTCTTCGCTCGCCCTCTCCACGCCGCCGCTCGCCTTCTCCTATGCGTCGACGGCCCGCACCTAACGAGGAGGAAAACTAGACGACGCAGTTCCTGAGGCGAGAACTGCGCAAGTTTCGATTTGCCCAAGTCCTCATTTGTCACCTACCAATGTTATTGATGTGTTCGTCGAAAATATCCCCACTGTCGCTCTTGTAGATACCGGTGCAGCTGTTTCGGTTATAGATGCTGGATTTTGTCGCTCAATTCGTAAGGTTACGACGCCTTTCTCCGGATTATCGCTTCGCACAGCCAGTGCTCAACCTGTTCAACCGACCGCAGTATGTACAGCCCACGTGACAATTCAGGACGTTCTGTATACGATAGAGTTCGTTGTTCTTTCATCATGCTCCCATAATATTAATTTGGGATGGGACTTTTTGTCGCGTCATAACGCCGTAAACGACTGTGCTAGGGCTGAGGTCGAATTTTGCTCACTGGATGACCAAGCATCCGTCGACACCCAGTTTGCCGCTAAACTTGTCGTTAGCGATGACACCTACATCCCTCCATGCTCTTTTGCGTTCGTGCCAGTTTCATGCAGCACCATATCCGACGGCACGGTCTTCTTCACACCATCTCCAATATTCGTCGCCCGAAGAGCCCTCCCCCTGCCTTTTGCTGCTCTCGATTTTGTAGAAGGGTCAACCACAATGCCAATTTATAATCATGAGTCGTCGTCTTTATCCCTACTTTGTCACGAATGCCTTGGCCGCGTCGAAACAATCAGTTCTTCCAGAATTATATCCGTCCCCGATGAGGTGCCTTCTACCTCCGTCTGTGAACTGGCTGTCGTCTCAGCGCCTGACTCAACGTCGGCAAACATATTTCAACCATTCATCGCTGCAGATTTGACATCTTCGCAGCGTTCACAACTCCTCACCATTCTTGAGAGCTACCGCCACTCTTTCGACGTTGAACAAACATCTCTCGGCCGTGCCTTAGCAGTAGAACACCACATCGACACTGGGTCCCACTCACCGCTGCGACGACCATATCGCGTGTCCGCTACAGAACGCCGCGTCATTGCTGACCACGTAGACGACATGCTTCGCAGAGGCGCCATTCGACCTTCACAGAGCCCATGGGCGTCTCCGGTGGTTCTCGTCAAAAAGAAAGACTGTTCTATTCGTTTCTGTGTCGATTTCCGGCAATTGAACAAGATCACGCTGAAGGATGTCTATCCACTACCGCGCATTGACGATGCTTTGGACAGTTTGCAGGGTGCCGAGTTCTTTTCCTCGTTAGACTTGCGGTCAGGCTACTGGCAGGTGCCTATGGCGGAGGCCGATCGCCCCAAAACCGCTTTTGTCACGCCAGACGGCTTATATGAATTCACCGTCATGCCCTTCGGACTTTGCAATGCACCTGCAACGTTCGAACGAATGATGGACAACATCCTGCGTGGACTAAAATGGAAGATATGCTTGTGTTACCTCGATGATATCGTGGTCTTCGCCCCTAACTTTGACACACACTTACGTCGCCTTCAGCACGTCCTTACTTGCTTAACTAACGCCGGTTTGCAATTAAACCTCAAAAAATGTCGATTTGCCATGCGTCAACTGAACATTTTGGGCCACGTTGTTTCTAAGGAAGGCATCCTCCCGGATCCCGAAAAATTGCGAGCTGTTACGGTGTTTCCTAAACCTGCCACCATCAAAGAACTTCGAAGTTTCATCGGCTTGTGTTCGTATTTCCGGCGATTCGTCCGAAACTTCGCGTCTATTATATCACCTCTCACGCAACTTCTCAGCAGCTGTAAAGACCTCTTATCGTGGTCCCCGGCCTGCGACGAGGCTTTCACCACCCTGCGACGGCTTCTTACGACGCCACCCATTCTACGCCATTTCGATCATGAAGCTCCAACTGAAATCCACACCGACGCCAGTGGTGTAGGCCTGGGTGCTGTGCTCGCACAGCGTAAACCGGAACATCAGGAATACGTCGTGGCATACGCTAGTCGCACACTTACCAAGGCTGAGAGCAACTACAGCGTCACAGAAAAGGAGTGCTTGGCCATTGTGTGGGCCCTTGGAAAGTTTCGCCCATATCTATATGGTCGTTTTTTTGACGTCGTGACCGACCACCACGCGCTGTGCTGGCTTTCGACGTTAAAAGACCCATCTGGCCGCCTCGCTCGCTGGGCGTCGAAAATTCAAGATTACGACATACGCGTGGTTTATCGGTCAGGACGGAAGCATGCCGACGCCCTTTCCCGTTCCCCTCTGTCCCAGAATGCCACAGCTGACTCCGCTTGCGATTCCACATTGTCATCGCTTGACTTTGACACCATTGCTATCGAACAACGCAATGACCCGTGGACTGCGTCTCTCCTCAATCATCTCTCCGACACTTCTGAACTCCCAAAGACGCGAACGCTTCGGTGCCAAGTTCCACACTTCTCGATACGTGACACGCTTCTCTATCGACGTAACTACGCACCAGAGGGACGCAAGTGGCTGCTCGTCGTTCCACGAACCCTAAGGTCGCAGATTTGTTCGTCTTTTCACGCTGACCCACAATGTGGCCACGCAAGAGTCTTCAAGACCTACGAAAGGCTTCGACATCGCTACTACTGGCGTGGCATGTATACCTTCGTCCGCAACTTCGTCCGCTCTTGTGCCGAATGTCAGCGCCGAAAATCTCCACCACACGCCTCCGCCGGTGAACTGCAGCCTTTACCATGCCCTTCCCGACCCTTCGAGCGGGTTGGAATAGATATTTATGGGCCACTTCCATTGACTCCGACTGGCAACAGGTGGATAATAGTTGCTATCGACCACCTAACGCGCTATGCTGAGACCGCTGCTCTTAAAACGGCTACAGCACAGGAGGTTGCCACTTTCCTACTGCTTCATTTTGTGTTGCATCATGGAGGCCCTCAAGAACTCCTCAGTGACCGCGGCCGCGCCTTCTTGTCCGAGGTCATTGAAAAATTGCTCGCTGAGTGTGCTATTGTACATCGCACATGTACCGCTTACCACCCAGAAACCAATGGGGCTACTGAGCGCTTTAATCGTACTCTCAATGACATGCTATCTATGTATGTGACGCCTGACCACTCTAACTGGGACTTAGTTCTCCCATTCATTACATACGCCTATAATATGGCAACGCAAGCGACAACAGGCTTATCCCCTTTTTACCTCCTCTACGGCCGTCACCCCTCCCACACCATTGATAACATTTTGCCCTATCGACCGGACGCGTCCGAGTGCCTACCGATCTTGGACGCCGCCAGACACGCAGAAGAATGCCGCCAGTTAGCTCGTCGCTTTACCTGCGATGACCAAAACAGACAAAAAGCAATTCATGATGCCCAGACCTCAACTCCTGTTTTTCTTCCGGGTGCTCTTGTATGGCTGTCAGTGCCGCATCGCACACCTGGGCTCTCTTCCAAACTTCTGCCAAGGTACGATGGGCCATATCGTATTGTCGAACAAACTTCGCCAGTAAACTCAGTGCCGCATCGCACACCTGGGCTCTCTTCCAAACTTCTGCCAAGGTACGATGGGCCATATCGTATTGTCGAACAAACTTCGCCAGTAAACTACCTCATTGAGCCTCTTACGCCACCATCAGACTTGCGACGTCGCAACCGCGAGGTTGTACACGTCCAGAGGCTCAAGCAATACCACGGTTCAACGCCGCCTGCCCAGGACTAAGTCGCCAGGATGGCTTCTTTTTTTCTCCGTGGGGCCATTGTAAAGAAGAGGAAGTACTCTGGCGCAGAGGCAGCAGCATCGAGTGTGCAGCAGCGGCTCGAGCTCGGAAATTGCGGCTGGTGCATCAACTTCCAAGCATCAACCTTTCTGCTTAATAAATCTCCTTTATAATTAGTTAAGTACGTCATTGCGAAATTCAAGGGACCGCATTTAAGAGACTATCAGGTCGGTGTCAATATTCTTGTATCACACAAAAGGAATGTCATACGTCTTGAGCAATCTTTGTGCATGCACAAGTGGCTGCGTTTTCGAGAGAAAGGCGGGAACTTTTTTTGTACTTGAGGTTCAGGTAAAACCTGTTTCCTTGATAATGCGATGCCTTGTGCTAAGCATGCAATGCTATGATGATCTGTCATTTCTGACCCTGAACCTTCCCTACGTACACTACTCCTGCAGCACTTTTCCAAGCAATTGTCAAATATCTTCATTAAAAGAGTCTGTTGCCTCACAAATCAACTATGGCAGATGCTTCTCAAATCTGTCACATACAAACAGAGCTACAGGGACTTTCTGCACACTTCAAGTGCTTTCTCTCTCCTCATGTTCCAGAGAGAGCGCTGAAAACTACACAGAGGGGGGCTGAAAAGGGAACGAAAATCTATGATCTTTTATTAGCGCACACCATGACCTTGAGACCGTCGTGACCTTTTCTAGTTTGCTTCTAACAACGCTGGTTACTTTCAGCGTGATTGCGAGCATGTACACGGGAACGTGGCTGAATCCCACGACTGCTGCGGCAACTATGGAGCTGGCCACGCTCTAGTCAACCAGTTGCTGTAGATCTTAGTCTATGCAATTACCTTTCGAGAGAAGAGGGGGCAATTTCTAGCTGGCTTTAACGGTTAATTTTAAATTCCAGGCCACGTGCTTCATTACAACGTTTAGTACGTGTGTTCTCAGGAGCCTCGACTACCGATCAGCAGCGATCAACAACCATGCTCAATAACTGTTGCAGGGTCCCTCTAAAAACTAGACTCCAAACAAGCTATCGTTAGCTGTATGCATATCCGTCCAAAGTCAGGTTTGCTTTGAACTACACGCAAATCGTGAACGTCAGACTTATTGGCATTATGAAACATCATAAGCAAGCTTGAAACCAAAAGAAAAGACAAGCAAACATTGACACAACAGAAGAGAAATAAATTTACATCAACACTCCCTTGTTATCTTCTATGGTGTCTGCAAGCGTCACATTTTATGACGAATCCTTACCAACCAAAAAGGTAGCTAAACTTTCTGTAGTTCTAAGCTCTAAAAGGTGTTTTATGAAAAGTGGTGTTTTATGGAGTTTTATGTAGGTTCACTGTGTTTTTATACATTCCAAGCATGGCCATGACATTTTTATTTAAAAACCAACTGGGCAACTTTTCCTCTTGAGCTTTTGTGATCCAGAAAAAAGAAAAAAAAGAAAAAAAGAGAGCTGGTGCAGCAAACTTTTGATGCACAAGCCATCTCAGAATTCCTACTAAACAGTCGCTATTCACCACACAGGTTATTTTCATTGCACAATTATGCCACAATTGACACTTCTTACCGGACTGGTTGAAGAGCACGGCATGCGAATAAATGTTGGGCACGAGAAGGAGAAACCCCGGCAGGGGCAGAGCGTGCTGCAAAGAAAAATGTTTATACAGACAGGAAAACGAAAGAACAGCCGTAGGAGCACGATAAATCTTTCCTTACGCTAGTATCGTAGAGTACTCACGGATAAAAACTCGAAAATTTAGGGCTGAATGATGCACACACTTCTGTCTACATCGTCTGCAGTTCGTGACATGTCAGCATAAGTTTGAATTGAACACTTACGTCAGAACCAATATGAACCCATAGCAGCCAGATTTGCAGGGTAACAATGTGGTTATCATCAGCAATAGTTACACTAAAAAAATTATGTGTTTCACTTCGTGAGTACTGCACCTTATTCACGCGGGCAAACTTTCGGCATTTTCGTATCTTCGGAGTGGTCCTCTGAATCTCGGAGGATAAACTTAAGAAATCCTCTGCGTACGAGCAGGAGAAACATAGTGCTGACCGAACTGCTGGTTAAATTTTGCAGCAATGAGAGGGAAGGCTTGGAAAGTTGGTGAAAACATTGGCCAGCGCGGCTAACGCCAGTTCTTTAGGCAAGAACGATGTTATTTAAGCAAACGTCAGCAACATGTGCTATCGTTAAGGAGCGATGACAACAGGAGTGGGTCAGGTCGTGCGACCAAAAATTTGAAAACTGTGCTCAGCTGCTCCTACTGTTATACTGCGAGCACCCCTTTTTGACTGTCCTCATGAGATCTGTTTTGATGGTGCTTGTAAGCTCCCAAGGGTGACCAACCAGCTGTTTTTTACGGGTGCAAGAGACGAGTGATTTTTCTCTCCCAACCACTTCAAATTTAGCGATTACTTCAGGTTATTTGAATATTCAGACTACGTTTTTTGAAAACTGGTATTAAGTCAGCAGCTTTGGTACAAGCTCGGAGTTATATTGGATACATGATATCAGAGCGTCACAAGTTTGACAAAGGCTGATGAACTGTCAGGATGATTAATGAAAATAACTGAATGAGTTTGTCGAATGAGCAAGCACCTTTTTTTGTGGGAAACTGAGATCTGTGAGATACCTGGGAGAGCAGATTCTAACCAAGAGTTTTTTTGCACATGACTTCCAAGATCCACTTCGTGAGAGAGACGAAACACAAAATTAAACCAAGGAATACACAAGGAGACACAAACGCCAAGGTGCAAAGCACTCCTACCTGACACCTAAGTCAGGGATCAGGGTCATCTCCAATTTTTCGTTCTACTTGGAAGGTGAGAATACATGGTAAGAGTGGTCATTTTGTCGCAATAGAAGTTCTATTTACTCAACATAGTGTTTCTCTTTATAGTAATCACTTCTAGACAATGGTAGAGTATGTGTTTCAACTTACTACATAGAAGAGAGATTCACGAGGGTGTTTGCCATGGCGGGCGTACAGAGTCTCTTGATAAATACCCATGCGAGCCGACAGCAACAGCGCAAACAAAAGAAGTCCTATGCCTGCAAATGGCAACCAGGGTAAATGTCCTTAATCCGGTCAAGCAACAAGCGTGACAGAAGCACAACATAAAAAATACATCTCATTTTTCAAGGACACCATAAATGTAGCGGTACAGCAGTACAAACAGCACTCCGGATAGGCTTCAGCAGACGACATTTGTCAATAAATCATTATGTAGTGTCTCAAGTTTACTGTTAACAGTAGCAGCTATTTTCCATTCGGCCCGACTGATTATGCTGTCTGTACGTTGCAGCAAAATAAATATCTTAACAAGTGAAACTGCTGCAAATGAGACGGCTTTCTGCTTGGTTGTCAATGAAACATGCGAGTAATGGTCATCTGCATGGTTCTAAACCACACCTATTGCAAAGTTCAAGCACAAATCAATTCGCAGTTTAGCTAATATAGTCGCACGTACCTGTTTCTTCAATTTGCAAAATTATTAGTCGGTATGAGTAAATGAGCACAAGTAAACAAGTTATCAAGCATGCTGCTAGATGGCACATGAAATCAAAATGAGCTTCTCTAGCGTCTTCACATGTTAGTTGATAGAATAGAGGGTGGCAAATGTTGATCACTATTACATAAAATTCAGGAACAGTGTAGTATAGCGAGACAACAGAAAGAACGCTAGAAACATGTCACACGCATTGCGGTGTGGTTAGCACCTCAGCTACCTCTCTGACTTTAAAGCATTTGCATCTACATAGTGCACGACAAGCACGTCTCTTACCGACACATTTGGTGTAAACGCTGCCTTCCTCTATCTTGGCCGTCCCCGCTTCTTTCGCCTGTCCAAGATGAGAAAAAAAAAAAAAACATGTCACAAAGCTGTGTACACTGAAACAGTAGAATTGTGAAACGTCCTGTACGCATTGTCACAACAGCCTGCAGAATGTCTGACCGGTACTTCCACACCTAAAATAATGCATCGGCTAGAGCTTTCTGCTCACGCATAAAACATGGACATCTCAAAGTGGCCTTAATTGCGCTGCTTTCCACTTCTGGTAAAATGCTATGGCTGTAAACAGCACAAAAGTTCAGTAGTGCTCACCTTGCCGCCACCCACTGAAGCTATGGTGCATATAACAATGCCAAGTGTTATCATATACACTGCAAGGTGCTTGAAGAGTGGGTACCTGCGGTCAAAGAAAATATTTTCACTATATATCAACCTCTCTAATAGCATATGTTACAGAAACACACTCCTTTTTTTTTCCTTTGGTGAATTGTGCATATGCTGTGTCAAGAGAGTTGCTAAAAAAAATGAATGCCACAGCAACTCATGAAAAATTTTCAAACCAAATATATATACTCACTACACAAAATGATTTGTGAAATCATGGCCTCTGTAACCACTCCGGTGCTTTCAGTTCAGTCACAATGAGAGTGTCTCACTACTCCGGTGCCACATCCATTCGGCTACTATGACTTGATGACATCACAGCTTGCAACGATGAATTGTCATTGTGCTCTACCCCTCCACCCCATGAGGTCACACTTGCACCAACCAATCATTGTCACGCCCTTACTGGGACCCTTCAATGTCATGACCTGTGCCAGGGAGTGAGCCCCACATCCTTCCATCACGCACAGAGAATGTTCTTTGAGGTGGAAAAAAGTAAAAAAGGTGCAGGAACAAGACAGTTAGCACATGTTCCAGTTCTTCTTACATTAGCTATACAAGTAATGACGATTTCGATCATGTACAGTAAATTCATGACGCAGTTACGTTTTCACAATCCTCACGGTAAGCCGCACTCCCTGTGCATAAAGTGGAGAGCAGTCACACAGTACCATTATGCACACAGGCATGCAAGCGACAACTTAACAAGCAAAAAAAATGTACAGACTGAAATGCTGTGTACCACACAGATGTACTTTGTTTATCATGTACGTTTAATTTGTAGCCTGCATCTCCATACACCGTTGCTCATACAGACATGCAAATTGTCTTTAAGATGCTATTAGAAGGCTAATGGCGAAGGTAATTGAACATTTACGGACACCAGATACAGTATTTATAGAAACACACAACTCGAAGCTCAAAGTTTATTGATTCTGATAAAATGGGAAAAATTTTTGTTTTGACAGCACCCCACCAGGCTAGCACACACAACATGTGCCATATCATAACCCGGAAAAATAGTAAGAAAAGAACGCAATAAACACGTTTACATACTAACCTCTTCTTTTGTAAAATGATGGCTAAGACCATGTTTGCGATAAGTGATCCCTGCAAGAAATAAGAAAAATTGGTAAAAAAATCCAATTGCTGTATGAGATTCAATGAAGGCAACGCTGCTGTTATGAAAGCAGAATACTTCAAAAGAATAAAAGAAAATTGGTAGGCAAATCAAATCGCTGTAGTGATATTCAATGAAGACAATGCCGTTGTTATGAAAGCAGAAATATTTGAAATGAATTCCTTTGAAGGTTTGTGCTAAAGAAGGGTAAATTACAGCATTCCCTTTTCATCAACTCTCCTTCTATCTTGCGGGCTTCCACAGAACACAACTGATTTGCCAAATTGCACTCATCAAAGGCTAGAGACAAAAACAGGATAAGTGACACAGCTCCTTCATTATTTTCATAATTTCCACTTGGTGCGGTGTTCATTAGATCAATACTGACAAATCCACACGATGTTCTATGCTGACGAATAGCCCTGTCATCTTTATAGAGCTGCCTACAAACATAACGCTAACTTCAGGAGATTGATTCAAGATGGGAGTCATTGGAGAAATTTCCTGGAATCCTGACATGAGAATGGGTTGGACTCATTGTTACAGTTTGATCTGCTTTATAATAAGGGAGCTATTCTAAATAATAATAACAAGTAAGGGCTAAGTGCAAGGTTGTACAATCAACTAGAAAAGACTCACAGATTTGAAGATCATGTGCAGGGGCATCGATATGTCGTACGAAAGGGCATGATTGTTAGAAACGCTGACCAAGAAACACATGACGACCAACGTGACATAATGTCTGCAAAACGAATGATTGCAACACATTGTATGTAAAATATCTACCCTAGAAGAAGTGTTGATGCACATTTCCATGTCAGACTATAATTATAGTCCCTACATGATGGCTTATAGTACATCTGTGTGGTATGGTAAGTGCCACACAGATGTGTATTGGTGTAATGAGTAAGCAAGTAATCATAACAGCAGCAAGTTGAAGATTATAAAAAAAAAAGAAACACTATTTATTGTGAACTTATTTGGCAGCGGTGGTGGTTTGCATGGTAGGCAGCCAGAACAAGCCATACCAAGCCGAATTTTTGTTTCCAGTGTTTCAAGTTTTGTTTTGTGGCGTGTTAGGTGACCGCATTCATTGAAAGCAAAAATAAGAGTGTCTGCAAAACTGTCCTACAGCACTCCTGCTTTGCAAGTCTTCTAGCACGGCCAGTAAGTACAAAAATGTTCTCATTAAAAGCCCTAGTTAAATGGTGCCCGAAATTACTAAACAAAATTTTCTCCTATCAGCATTATACTGTCCTTGTGTAGTCAAAATATGAAGAGAAATAAAAAAAAGTAACATCACAAACTAACTTGAGTGGAATGACCGGGCGTCTCTTGCCGAATTTCGTCGTAAATATGAATCCTTCTAAGGCGATGAAGAGAAATTGTGAAAAGGTGATCAGATTGGTGCATCCTGGATGCTCTCTGTAAAAGACGAAGCAAGGATGGTGTGAAGCAAACTCTGTTTTCTCTGTAGCTCGTATCTTAGAGGGCTGTGGCTTGTAATTCGATCAAGGGATAGAGTCGGACGAATTTTAGTTTAGCTTATTGGCATACAGGTGTCGAAACACTTATCTAGTCTTACATGTGCGGGTTCTTTATTCCTTTTAATGTGCTCAGGCACACTCTCAATCACATACACAACACCTCTTCCTGCCACACACACACGTACACACCTACGCACACATCAGCGTTCTGTCGTTCACTAACTCGCCAACTTCAATTAGGTGGTGAATGCGTGACCAGCGCTAAACATAGACACTTATTTCCACGCCAAAACACCGCTTGGGAAGCTTTCCTTGATAAACCGAAAGACCAGCAAAGATCAGCGCTATAACGTTACAATCAACCGCAGTTCAAAAAATATATTTAAGACAGGAGGAATAAACGAAGGCGACGCACTCACTTGACCAACAGTTCGAGGAAGAAGACGTTTGTGCAACATCCCAAGAAGACGAAAGCTGTCGCTAATATAATGTGAATTGCCATGGCAACTGAAACCGAAGCAACAAGAGGTGTAAGGGGAGGCTTTTGGAGCGTTCGAGCGACAAATCATCTGGTTCCTTCAGTTCCCTTTCGAACGATCGTCCAATTTTCGCTAAGGAAAACAGGACAAGCGTGCCGTAATCTCTCCGCTTTTCCTCTATAAACTCTCTGGCTGAAAAGCTAATTTTGTGGCACGTGGTGGCACGTAGGCGGCGTGGAAGCTAAGGGTAGAAAAAGAACATTGTGGTAGTTTTATTTTATTGGAAGTAAAGTACAATGCCTAGCTGGACACACTTCGCCACGTTAGCCACGTCAACCTTTGCATAGATTAGCGAGCGCGTGAATAAGGAGCGAGAAATATGCAAGAAATATAAAATATGAGCGACTCAAAAACTACGAGAAGGCAAAATCATGCCGTGGTAAATTGCTGCGAAAAGCACATACCGTTAAAACAGATGGTAACCGCTAAGAACCGTTAACTGCAGATGCGTGGCTCTCCCCGAAACTTGCAGACATCACTTCCTGCGCGAGCTCAATGCACTCATTAAACTGTCCGTTCTAGCGCCTCGGGCTCCATTGTTCGTTATATATACGTGTAATCATCGCCGCATCTGTGTCGACTGACTGCGCCCCGCGAACTGCAGACACTTAATCGCACCTTAAATGAATGGAAACCAGCGGCCCACGCGTTCTACAACTCCACAACAAACAAACGCAAGAATTTTGTACACAATGTTGGTAGGCAGCTGTTTTCACTCGGCCAACTTTGACGTAGCCATTTTTGTACTAATGCTGCGGCCTACAATAGAGATATTTGGTAAATTTAGGATCCACTCACACAAGTTAAGCATTCCCACATAATCAATTCGTTCTAAAATTTATGTACCTAAAATAAACGATGCGAATGGGGCTTGATTACGCTATCGCGTTTGAGTCTTGAAGGCGAAGCTCAAGCGTCTTCCAGCTTATTTTGAACTGACAGGGGGTGTCATAAAATATGTACAAAAATGCTCACAAATAATGGAAATGTGACATATACTTCCTGCCTTCATAACGACCGTTTATGTATTGGCAAATATGTCATCAAGTACAGCAAAATTAAAAAAAAAAGATTGATGCAAGGGCCGACTCAGGGCGCGGGCTTCCTTGTCTCTCTCTATTTTTTCACTTTTCTTTTCTTCCTTGCTGCCTTTGTCGGTTTCATATTAGTGAACATTAGAGATCCACATTAGGCTATTTACTGCTAACGGTTCCTAAATTCTGCGCGTGAATACTATCAGGGTCCTCGGAATGTTCGTCGAGTCCAATGGAGAGAGCCGCCATCAAACGCATTTCTTCCAAGACCGAAAACGCTCTCGGGTTGATTAGAATAATCACTAAGAGGTGCTAAGGAATCAAAGATGACAATCTGATCCGGATTATCCACGCATTTGTGCTACGCCAGCTCGCTTATTCGGCGGCTATGCACAATTGGCTCGTGTCGGAACGCAAAGCCCCAATCAGAGCAGTCTTCAAGCTGGTTCAAGGCATTACCGTTCGAACGCTCGTGGAAGACCTCCTCAACATGGAAATCCACAAAACATCACACACACACACACGCACGCGCGCGCACACACAAACACACACACACACACACACACACACACACACACACACACACACACACACACACACACACACACACACACACACACACACACACACACACACAATTGTGTCAAAGCCGAAGAGTTTTCACGGTTTGTCAAACCGTCCGGCACTAGTGGGTAGAGCGATACTCAGCATGCTAGGACGCAACTCCGTGTTCGTCGGTCCTGATACTGTGAGGCTGCCCAACAATATAAGGTCCAAGATTTTCATACATCAGAGGCCGCATTAAACCTACCACGAAGTACGAAGACGAGCCAGAGGTACAGATCTGGTCGCCAGTGCCCGCTTAGACAATGAACGAGCCTGCTTTGTAGATGCCGCTTCGTACGCTCAAAAAGAAGCCTTCTCTTCAGTGGTCGTCGACTGTAATTACAAAGCAGTCAGCTGCGCTATCACCCGCACTTCTAGTTCCAGTGTTGCACAGCAGGTTGCTATTGGTCTTGCATTGACGGACGGTGTACACGACACAATTTGACATTAAGGCATCTATTAAGGAATTTTAGATATGGTGGCTCCCCAGTTCCTACAGATCATTAGAGAAGCCAAAGACCTGAAAAATCACTCATTTGTCTGGTTTTTTGCGTACCCTGGAACCATTGAGGGTACCTTGCCCGATCCGAACGAGGAGGTGTACTCGGCTGTATGAGGTTTGACTGACCATGCGCCAGGTAACACGCCATCTTCTGGGTGGTCCGAGCCTCTCTACAGGAACAGCGAGATATGCAAGTGCCATTATATCTCAAGAAAAGTGCTGCCCTTGCCACACTCCAAGCTGTGCATAGCCCAAGCTATCACGCTCAGTCTGCTACAAACAAGAGCCTATGTATGCCCGAGCCCTGCAGCACTGCATACATTATACCCCTAACAGTTCCCAAGCCGGGATTACACCCTGTGGTAGGTAGGTATGTGGGGTTTAACGTCCCAAAACCACCATATGATTATGAGAGACGCCGTAGTGGAGGGCTCCGGAAATTTCGACCACCTGGGATTCTTTAACGAGCACCCAAATCTGAGAACACGAGCCTACAACATTTCCGCCCCCATCAGAAATGCAGCCGCCGCAGCCGGGATTCGATCCCGTGACCTGCGGGTCAGCAGCCGAGTACCATAGCCATTAGACCACCATGGCGGGGTGGATTGCAACAATTGTGGTGGTTATGCTGACTTCGAGCATGCTATGTGGAGCTGTGTCTTTGCCGGTTCCCCTTTCCACCAAGGGCCATGTCGGCCAGGACCAGACCTCTCAGATGCTGGCCGTCCAGAGGATCCACGAGAGGGCGGTCAGGTTCAACCAGACCATTCCCAAGTGGGCCTAACCAGGGGACATCGAGTTAGCTTGCACCTATAGTGGACCAAAATCAAGTTGTTATGCTCACTCACTTACTCAGTCTATATCTATTCCTTTCTCTTTTTTTCGCTCCACCTTTCTTCCGTTTCTTTCTCTATTTCTTTATTTCCATTCATTTATCTCTTCATTTCTCGTTCCATCTTGATCTTTAGTTTTTTATATATTTTTTGTGTGTTCCTTTCTATCTATTTCCCCATTTCTATCTCTGTATTTGCGTCTCCTTTTCTCGTCGTCCCTTTATTTCTCGCTCTCACATTCTTTCTCGCTCTCTGAACTCCGAGTAATGCATTGCACGCCGGACAAATCGGTTCAGCGGGAAAGCACGTGCCGGGTGAACGTGTTTGGGGGAGTGAAGCAGAAGATGACGAAGAGAGCGAGCGCCGGCCGAGCTCTCCTTGTAAGCGTAGCCTTGCCAGATGCTGCGCGATGCGAGAGGTAGTTCACAATGTTGATAGTTTACTGTTGAGGTATGACGAGGTATTACTGCTACACCCTGCGCGTTGGAGGATGAGTGCAGGATGGTAGACGTTTGTAGGTGATTGTCGCTGAAAGTTACATTGGCGTTCTCCGTGCTTCCAGTGATACTTGCTTGATTCTGTGCGACGTAAGGAGGTGCAGGGGTCTCGCAAGTGCAAATGAACGCTATAATTGCGTGTCGGCAAAGAAATGTCTACGATATCTGTATACATATGTTGCACGCTAGTCATCGTGAAGAAACCATAAGGAAAGACAACATTGAGCACGCGTACACGACTCTCCACGAACAAACGGTGCCTCGAAATGTTACTCCGGAGCGTAAAACAGGAGCTTGATTTCGTTGACCATTTTAATTAACTCGTCTGCACGGTCCTCCACCTACCGTAATAGCATCCCGTGGTAGTCCCAGAGCTGCAGCTACGTGTGTCAACCATTTTTCTGTGCGTTGCTGACTGACTATTCCGCAGGTGATGTATACAAGGTAGAGTCAATCCATTGGTGTAGCCAGGGGCGGCCCACCGAGCTCGTGCCCTCCCCCCCATCTCTCACCCAACCTTTTTGTGTCATTGCCTACCGAGCACAAAATGACGCTCGACCACATTTTTTTTTTGCGCGGCCCTCACTTCAGATCAAAAAGAAGATGCCCCCCCCCCCCCCCCCCCACACACCCTCCCTTAAAAGCTTCTGCCTACGCCCCTGCGCAAATCATACGGAGTTACTGCGTGACACACCCAAAGCCCTAGCAGTCAGCAACACGTAAGTATGTAATGGCACTTGTAGCTGGTATACGAGTCTTATTTAGCGCGCTCACGAAAGCCAACAAACTTTTGCCACATTTGTGGGACACGTCAAAATGAACAAAAGCCAAGATATATAACCACGAAGTAACCATTCATTCAAAATATGCATAAGCGCGCTACACTTGTTGCATTGCTTTATATCGCGAAGTTCGTACATTCTGTAACGGGACTGCTTCCGTCGATCACACCTCGTCGAGTGGTCTTGCGCTGTCGGGAAGCAGGTTCGGAATACCGTTCTGTATGGGAAAAGCCTTGCCAAGTTCGTCGGACACAAGCACGTTTCTCTCACTGACGTAACGAAGAGGCTTTTTGGTGACGGGACACACGATGAACTTCAGGTTCTCTTCGTCGAATGTGACCGGCACGTCTTGCGTGGCATCGAGGGGCTGGGGGCCGTCGGGCCCGTAACTGCAGAATCCGAGCCGTTGAGTGCCGCCGTTGTGGATCAAGGACAGGCAGCGTTTGTGCAGAAAAGCAGTCGCCACTCGCTTTAGCATGATCACGCGGGTGGAAAAGCACTGGAGCAGATAGAAAAGGGCGCACAAGAAATGCAACTAATGCCGACACAAATCAACGTTCGAACACGGCTGGATTTGACTGTGGCTTGACTTGGTTTAGTGCATTTCAAATCACTAACTTGGTCAGTTTTTTTAATAATTCTTAAAAATAAAACCCATCTGCAAATTAGCATTGCACTTAAATTATATTTAAAAAAATTATTTAAATATTGCTGTCTTGTTTAGTTTTAGTGTATAAATTATAAACCTAAAAAAATGCTTTTGTTTTTGTGACGTCATAGATGTCATGAGTATATAAAAAGAAAAGATAAAAATACTTTTAAGTGTATTAAATTGGGGCAGCATGCTGTTTGGCGCCCCAGATGTGGCTCTTTTTGCCATGACGACTAGCGCTGCCGAAGCACATCGTACTACTGTGTCGCTACCTGTCGTCACTCTAAGGTAACTTATGAGCAGCTTAGATACTAAGCCTCTGAGATTAATACTTGTAGTTGCCGCGCTGGTCATAAATTGTATAAAAATGATTATAGAAGTGTATAATGAAATAAGGCAGTATGTTCTTGAGTGTTATTTTTAATATTATTTGTTTAATAACGCGACTGCTTACTCTCCTAGCTCATGCAGGTAAGTGGTGGTCGTGGAACTCGCCCGCTGATAACGTTATTCTTCATTTAACATTCGTTATCATTCAATATCTTTGTTTGTTTCATCGCATGATTTCAAGTTAGTGTGATAGCTAAGCAGGGGTACATGTGGATCAAATCAATAGCGATGTGCTTTCTACAGAACAGTGAGCTAGCAGACGATCTGGGTCCCTGTTCTGCGATAGGGGTTGTGCGAGCTCGACTACTTATAAATAGCGTTATTTATCTCATTATTGAATTTATATGGGCTTGATGTGTTTTAAAATT